GTTCCGTCATTCGAATACCAACAATCATAAACATATTTAAAGACATATATTTATCATAAACTCCCACCACCACCAACGACCTCTCCTGATTATTATCTTACATGATAACAACAAACAAAATTTAGCTCTGTGCAAATGTGTTCAAGTTGCGTGACTTTTACCCCTTTATTATTGTAACAAGAACAATTACTATGTGATGATGATACATTAATTCATTGTAGTTGGCTGATATCTATCTGTATAATGGTACATATGAATATACATAATAATAAACATAGTAGATGCTATGGATGATATTGATTATAACTTAAGTAGTTTCCAACAATGAGTCAACGCGTGCAATAACCTGGTACATATTTGCAGTGGTAAGCATATGAAGCACAAAGATCAAATTATTCCATATTAAAGTTAATTATTACCTGATGAATATCTGGTCTTTGCTTGGGTTCAACGACGAACATGTACGTGATTAGATCCTTGAACTCGGATGAATATCTATGGATAACAATTTCATATATTAGTATTACAACTATGTGATCAAAGATTTATATTATACCGGCATATGTTACTATAAACTTACTGATCATTTTCAGGAAACCGAATCTGAGCGTTAATAGCCGCCAATGCAATTGAACCTCCATCCTCCGTCGAACTAGACTCAAAGGGTGATTTACCGTATGCCATAGCGTACAGCGTACATCCCAGAGACTGTACACAAAATAACAGTGTTAAAAAAACTCTATACTTTGGAAGTGGAAAAAGTTGGAAATCATATCTTCCAAATCATTCATTTTGCGTGTCTCGAGTGCTCGTAAATCCGAGTATTCCACATCATACACACAAGATTAAAAGGATATTCCGATGCACATACATCAACGTTGGCGCAAACGGACCAATTACGCTGTAAAATCATACCAATTGGACCATTGGATAAATCAAAAGCGCGCCAACGTTGATGCATGTTTCAATTCGGAGAGCCTCGGATGCTCAAAAACACGAAATATTAAACGTACCCAGATATCGACTTTCTCATCCAATTCGGTGTCCGTCTTCACGTCAAATAATTCAGGAGCTCGATATGGCATTGTAGAACGCTCTGCTGCCAGATCTTGCTGTAGCAATGCTTGCGCTCTATTCCGAATCTTTATCCGCGCACGAATTAAGGACCCGAAATCCATGAGTATGGCTGTATCCCCGTCGTCAGATATTAAAACATTACTATTGAACAAATAATATGTAAGTACCATCTACAAGTAGATGTAAATCCATAGAGAAAAATTTTATACGCACCCCGGTTTAATATCACGATGAGCAAACGGAACAATATCGGTTTGACCGTTCGGTTGTGGAGCAGCTGAGTCGCTTTGTTCTGCACGGCTGATTGGTACGGCTGGCAGTTGATGCGTGTGTAGAGCTCGCACAGCATAACAGATTTGACGGAATAATTTCAGCATTTCAGTCTCTTCAAATCTAGTATTGTTCAAATTATGCTCATCGATAGCATCTTGAAGATTACCACGCTAAAATCAACAAAACGAAGAAGTATTTGTCCAGCGTTGATGAAAATTCATTAAAAATACAACTCTACCGTTAAGACATTAAATAATACCTTATAATATGGCAAGAATATATAAACTATCTTTGCACCATCTTTATCCTGTACAACGCAAGTGTCCTACAAAATGGAGAATGCAATATGTAAGCAACCGAAATAATCGAACAAAATTCGCACATATTTATTAAAAAAAAGTGGGGAGAACGTACAATGACTTTTATAATATTTTCATGTTGGAACAAACGATACATTTCAACTTCCTTCATAGCATCCTTGACAGAATCGCTACCAAACGGACATCTTATGATCTTTAAAGCATACAACAGACCAGTATTTGTATCCTTCACGAGATAAACATAAGAGAAACCCCTAATTCATAAAAACGCGGGAGATTAATAAAGGAGAAAACATTAACCATGATATGGTTCTTGGAAATCCGAGACTGGCAATTACCCTTCACCCAACAATTTGACCATTCTAAAGGTTCTTCTGTTGAGATAGATAGTGGGACTAGAGAAGCATGATGTCATCGCATATAGCGTATCTCGAATAGCGCCAAACATCGACATTGTGTATTTGTATCCACTCTATCTCGAATGCAGATGTGTCTCGTCTTATTTCTTCCCTACAATTGTTTCCACTTGATACGAATTTATGCCAGATACCGAAAAACTAGAAGAAAACTCCTCGCAGCCGAACAAAAAGAATCTTTACAAAGTTCAGTCGCTGTGTGGAAACATAATATGTGTGAATGGGAAGACAGATCTGAAACACTAGTACTAAGCGAGAAAAAAGTATGTTTTAGTTCCTGTGTCTCCGGATGGATTGTAACACATTACTATTTCCCGTATGATCTCCGGAGAGAATCAAGGTTCCATCAAGCAATGCCCGGAGAAAGATTCCCCGAGCGCTATTTTATTACAGTCCCACAACTTAGGCACTTGTACATCTCGGACTCTCCTATTTTTTGAATGTTCCCACACCAGCTGCAAGTTTTTGACGTGCAGGCCTCATTTTGGATAATAACATGGACCCTCAATTCTTCCGCTTTAGCCACCAGACGTGATAGTGGCCCCAACAGAGCATTTTACGGACGGCTTTGCGTAATGTCTTTCTTGTTTTTTGATTTACCACATTCGATACCCCAAAAGGAGGAATGATAATGACATAAATTTGGGCGTAAAAATGCGACGTTTTTTTTGTGAATTTCACTTTGTAGGCGTTTGATTTTTCGTCGCATCCGAAAGATCCGATAATGAAATTAGGTGACGGCTTCGTCGTCGTTAGTGATTATGGAGACGGTTTCGTCGACGTCGTCGTTTGTGTTGTTATTGGTATTGGGGGGAGGGCCCGATGGACTATAAAGTCCCGTATTTCGGTGATGACTTTTTCGCTTATTTGTTCGCTTACATTACTTGATAAAGTAGAAACGTCGGTCGAGTCGGTGGGTAGAGGGGATGAGACGGAAGGAGTTGCAGAAGAATTGCCGTATTGAGTCGCAAGGCCTGCTTCTTCTTACGTTTTGAACTAGAGGCCGCCACTTTGTCCTTTTTAGAAAGTAAATTATCCATGTGTTTGCACTAGACGAATAATTTGTCCAATGTCATATTGGCCAATTTTACCTACACCTTTAGTAGGAGAGTACCACGTGAAGGGTGTGCGAACGCCAGGATCAATGGAAACTGCATTAACAGAACCAGCCGCTTGGATTTCGCGGAGTTGTTTTTGCGGCTCGTAAACGCATAGAAGTTTCCATTCGTTTGTTTGCGAATATACGTGAACTTGCAGTCGGACGTTACTCGGTGAGGAACAGGCCACAAATCGCGTTTGTCGTCCAGCGTGATAACAGGCTATTGATGGATTATGGAGATAGGGTGACCATAAAAACGATTCCACGTGGTTTTTGAAAAACTCTGTGCACAAATTACTGTCGTTTGTCGTAAATTTTTTCGAGAGTGAAATAATAAAGACGAACTGCTTCGTTAATTGTCTCATCGATAACGTTTACAGGCGCTTTTCTTGAAGTAGCATTCCAATACGCACGACAGTTCGCATAAATTTGCGTTTACCCCATACGCATGATCTCTGAAGTCTCTTGTCCTCACGTTCATTAACATCTTTTCCAACACAAACATCTGTGTAAAGTCTAACTTATGTTCAATTGGTTGAGATTTATCCAAACCCGTCGTGATGAATCAACACGCAAATCCTTGGTATAGAAGTGATGGACCAGCGGACAACTGCATTATAGGCATATCTCGACAAATCCATCCACCGTTTCAGTGGCTGCTTTGAAGATAACTTTGATTGGCAGCGTACGAGTAAAAGCTTCCAAGCGTTGTTGTTTTATGCGTGCTGTTGTTGTGCGTTTTTTACCTAGTGTGGGGTTCTCTTCGGGTGACTCTTCTTCCTTGCTTGATTGCAGGGAAGCGAATTTTAAGACAATGTAAAAATTCTTACATTGTAGTTTAAAATTTTTTACATTTTCCGGCCAGGATGTCTACATCGGCCATTATAACGGAATAACCAGCTTCGAACCTCTTTCTGTTGATTCTTACATTATCCGACAATCCTATAGAAAATGTTTGGGCAGTTCTTAAACACAATATCGTTGTGCTCACTTTGTTGAGTTTTGTGGTATGTGGTGAGTGGATGAAGTCACGGCAGAATAATTTCTGAGACAATGCCGCGACTTGTCCGTTCCAATAGGGTCTTATGTTTGTAGCTGAAGAGTTCTTTGGGAGAGCTGAATATGAAGGCCTCTTTTCGCTTGCACCTTTTGTGGTGTTGGTGGTGGTGGGAGTTTATGATAAATATATGTCTTTAAATATGTTTATGATTGTTGGTATTCGAATGACGGAAC